GAAGCTGGACTCTATGAGGAAGAACGGGGCATCAGGATTGGTGGAAGACTCATTAACAACCTGCATTATGCAGATGACACAACCTTGCTAGCTGAAAGTGAAGAGGACTCGAATCACTTACTGATGAAGATCAAAGACCACAGCCTTCAGTATAGATTACACCTCAGCATAAAGAAAACAAAAATCCTCACAACTGGAGCAATAAGCAACATCATGATAAACGGAGAAAAGATTGAAGTTGTCAAGGATTCTATTGATAGTAGTTAGTATAAAGAATTGTATAAAACTTAATTTGTAAGACTATGCTTTTGTTTTGTCACTGTTAGCTATTAAAAAAGACATAATAAATTCCCCTTCAAGTATTTTACTAGGTACTATGATTCTTATGATAGCCTAGTATATTACTTTTAATTAGATGAAAATTTCTCTTTAACATTATATTTTTCTTATTTCTTCCCTTCTAAGAAACTCAGAAATAAGTTTTGGTTCTCAGTTGGAATTAGTTCTCTTACCCTTTCCTCTGTCTCCAGTTTTCATTTACCTTTGTTTTAGTTGTTGTGGTTTCATTGGTTCTCTTTTTTTATTAAAACTTTTAAGTCCATTTTGAAAGTCGGTGGGCATAAATAATAAATTAACTATTCTCAAGTACTGTCTGATAGAGTTTTAGGTCTTATGCTGCTGTTTCTTTCTTTTTTTTTTTAATTCCCCTGCTTCATACTCACTATCATTCTCTTCTTACACTGTAGACTTCTCTTGACCATCATGTGAATTATTCATTTCATGTCTTATCCATAATAAATTATTTGTTCCAGACATAATTTTTCTTGTCACCCTTTATGTTTTATGATTCCTCAGAGTTCCATTTGCTTATTTTAATATTAGCTCAAACCAGACTATTAAGAATGTACTCTATCTAGAGAACTTTGTTGAAAATGTGTCATACAGCTAATATTTTAGATTTACTTTTAACTATGTACACTCTTGCTTTCATTATTTAAAGTAGATCACTGAATATCCATTTAATTGGGAAATGAAGTGAAATTATACAAAATTTTGCAGGTTTAATTTATCAATTCTCTTCTATTGGGAGTGTATCTTTGTGTAATTTATTATTCTAATGATTATGCAATATAATATCAAATTTTTCAAACTAATTATCATAATATGATAGTTTCAGTTAATCAATTTCTCCTTATTGTCCTTTTTAAATCACAAATTACACGTATGTTTGTCCTTTTGGAATACTAAATTCAGTCAAATGCCAAAATTTAAATTATTGAATATTTCTTATGAAAGGGTTGCTATTGGTATCATTGATATTGTCAATTCTTGTTAAATTTAGCTCACAGTTATTGGTGAACCATTCTAAAACTTAAATCAGTTGTTTTAGTGTGTTCTTCTTCATAGAATCTAAGTTTCCAGAATAGATGAGAGTACTAAACTTTTGTTGATTTTACTTTCAAAGGCAGGCCTGTGGGTATTTTATAAACAGTCTTAATATTCACATGATTGAGTTAATCATTCAATTTTAATCTCATCGATAATCATTTTCCAATCTAGTTAGGGAGACAGTATGAGTATATAGAGAGATACTTGACCAGGTAATATGTTATGTGTCAAATTTATAATAACAGGCAATATGGAAATTTTAAAATGGCAGAAATTACAAATTACTGGCACAATTTGGGAAACTTTCATGGAGGAGGTGGAAGTTGAATCTTGAAGGAAGGATAAGACTTAGATGACAGTAGAAAAAAGAGTTGTGATTTATGGATGGGCCATTATTGAGCATGCATGCATTTTTATGCTGTTCTGTTGAAGTCAGACACATTTTGACATGGCCTAATAATTAAAATAGGAAATAAAAATTAAAACCACACTGAGGTACAATTTATACCTAATGGGTTCGTAAAAAATTACCAAGTCTGGGAGTTAATTGTTGGTAAGAATGTGGAGCAGCGAGAACTCTTGGAACTGCTTGTAGCCTATGATATAGAAATTTCACTTCTAGGTATGAATAATCTAGAGCGGTATTTTTCAAACTGTTTTTTACTTTGATCCCCGCACAGAAAGAAATACATTTTACCTTATAACCCAGTATACACACAACATAAAATAAAAGCTTCATATAGCAATAGTTGTCCTTACTATGTATAATAAAGATAAAATGTCCTACGGTTTGTATCAAATGTGTATTTAATAATCTTTAAATGTAATAAAAATCTAAAATAATGCAAAAAATTTAGGAAATATTTCATGTAATGTGTCTGTTTCATAAGTTCATTCTCATGAGCATAGTTCTTGCTAAGAATTTGCATATCGCTTTGTATTTTCTATTGTATTCTGTTTCACTTTTTAAAAATGCTAAATGCGATAACTAAATTTAATTTAGAATCCATTAATAAATTACAATCCATAGTTTGAAAAATACTGCGCAGGAAAAATATTTGAGTATTCTTATCAGCATTGTTTGTATACCTCTTCCCCTGCAAAATGGGAAACAGCTGAAATATACATTGACGGGATGGCTAACTATATTATATCTATATATTGGAATACTACTGTATACCAAGGCGTTTGAACGGCAGCTGCATCCATCAATGTAGATATATTTGGAAAGATAATGTTGAGCAAACATAACAAGTCACAGACTATGTATAGTATGATTTCATTTATATAAAGTTCAAAAATGAGCAAAGTTATATGTATACTAAATCGGTATATGTATATCTTGAAAATATAAAGAAAAGAAAGAAAAGGACGAGAATCAATGTTTTAGGATAGTAGTTACTGCTGGAGTGGTTAGGAGGTGTTAGGAGATTAGGGGACATATGGAAAACTTCAAAGATTGTGGTAAATTACCTACGTAGTGATGGATACAGGTCTGCTTCTTACATTCTTTTTCTTTATACCTTACACGCTTATCATAGTTTATTTTAGTATGCAGTATTCAAAATTTTTAATGTGAATTAAAATAAAATTAACAATTAAAACTCCCATCTTTCACCCTATTTCTAAATCTTACCACAATTTTCACTTCATTCCCAAATCCTTTGGGGAAGGTTTGATAAAGAGTAAATATAGGAGTACGAAATAAATTGAAGTTTAAGGAGCAGAAAAGCATCAATAATAGGTCAGAGTTGGAATAAACTTTAGGGGTCTCTACTGAGCATATTACTTCATAGTAAGAAAACAGTTTGTTTCTGTTTTTATATGTTAGCTTCTTGGTTGACAGCCAGATGGGTCTTGGGGGACGAACATGGTTGAGACTGACTTGGAGGCTTTAAATCTGCATGTCAGGCCAGAAAGTAGGTACTTAATACGTTAGTTGAGGATGATAGGTTGACAAAACTTGAGGAAGTTCAGAAAAGGAAATAGGTAGGATCAGGGTATAGATTTAGGTTTAGTATGTTAGTTTGAGATAGCAACGGACAATTCAAGTAGAGGTATTGTATAGAAAATTGGAAATACAGAATTGGTGATCGTGAGAGAGTCAGAGCTGGATTATAGAAAGAGGTGATACTGCAAGCCAAGGAAGGGAGTAAATTTTTTGGAAAAAAAAAGGAAGCGGAGTATTAAGTCATGGTGTATCTACCAGTTAGTTATCCATTTAGGTATCTCTGACAGGTAAGAATATTCAGTTAAAATTTTGCTGGTCTTAATATGCTGAATATTTTGTTCATGGAGCAAAATGTTTTTAGTACCAAAACAAACTTGTCATTTTTTATCTTTTAAAATTATTTATGCTTTCACAAAAGTATAATTGTTTCTTGAAAAAAAGCATTTTTTTCCAAAAGACATGCAAATAAGAGGCTAAATAATTCCTATTTTAGCTATATATGTATTTTCTTTTATTAGAATGTTTTGTAAAATTTTCTTAATCTTCTGTTATACAGCCTAAATTGTGAAATATTTTGTGTGTTCTTTATTTTAAACTAATAAATAAACACCATACTTATACATTTGACTTGAAAATTTATGGGCATGTCACAGAGAATGAAAATTTTGATGGTAGAATTTATTATGAAAGCTAATTAATCCTAATGATTACAATGGAAATCTGAAACCTTTAAAATAATTTTTTTTCTTCTAAATAACAGCTCATCAGTAATTTTAATTTCTTCCGTAGAGAGAATCAGGACTAAAACAAGAAATAAATGACCTTGTAAAACGGAAGATTGCAATAGATGAAGCAAATGCTTTCTTAAGGAATGAATTCAGTGACTTGCAGAAGAAATTTAAAGATAAAAGTCATGAACTTAAGGTGTGTTGACTTGTATGTACATAGTTTTATTGGACTGTTGCTTTGAAGTCTTGCTTTAAGCTTTGTCAGCCTTTGTGGCACAGAAAGTGACAAGCCTGGAAAAAAAATTGCCTTAGGCCCTGCTGTACCATACAGTTTTCTCATATGTAAAAACTCTGAGAAAGATGCTTTAAAGCTAAGACTCTAAGCTTTATAACTTTCAGATAAATAGTTAATGATGGAAATGGAGCTAAGAAAGTAGGAGTGTGAATATGTGGCTTCTTGTAATTAGGATCTGATGGGACTGGCATTATTAATTGATAAAACCCAGGTCTGGGAGGATATGTCTGTGTAGGTCTCAAAAATAGCTAGGGACAGCATCAAAGGCAGCTTGATCAATTAATGGGCTCTTTGCAAATGTGTACTCATCAAAGCTGTCATCCAGTGAAAAAATATGACCCATCCACCTGCATGAAAAGAGGCCAATAAAAGTACACAGGTGACCTTGGCCATCAAATGTAGAAGAAGCTGCTGTGAGGGTAAAACTGCTCAGTTTATATTTGCTGATTAGTTCTCACCTTTTCTTTTTTTTTTTGGTTTATCGGCCCTGTGATACTTTTCTACAGGACGCTAAGGAGTGTGTACAGAATAAGGAAGAGCAAAACAGGCTGGTTATAAAAAATCTGGAGGAGGAAAATGAGAAATTAAGTACACACTGTGCTGACCTGCTAAATGACCTGGAGAAACTGAGGAAGCAGGAAGCACATTGGAGAAAAGAAAAACATAGCACTGATGCAAAAATAAAGGTATGCAATGAGAATGGAATCCAGGCTTCTATTTTATGTTATTTTCTTTAAATAATAAGTTATATATTCAAGTCTACCAGTGGGGACTAGCATTAATTTATATTAATTTATATTCCTTCACTTAAGACCCACAGCTTTTTAAAAATTGATGTTGCAAAGCAGGAAACTGACTTCAAATAGTTATCCTAAAATGTAATCATTAAAAAATAAAGGATATTGCATTTTGAAATAAAATATGATTTGAAAAAAACATATTTAGAATCATGGGTTTTGATTTTTTTCAATTAGAGCTGAAATTTATAAATATAATTAGAATTCATTGAAATACAGTTTTAAGACTGTATTTCCCAAGTCCTTTAAAAAATAAAATGTAATAAAAGCACAAAACAGTTAAAAAATACTCACTTATATATTCTGACATTGTGCTCTCTCTGACTTAACAGGGTCTAAGGCATAGTAAAATTTTATTTTTAGTTAAGATAAAAATTACAATCAATTTTTATAATATTCTTACATCCTTTTTGATCAGTATTTTTTCAGAATAATACTTTTTTGTGGATTTTTATGTGTCTTGAGAATATTTCTGTTCATCTTTTCCTCCTCAAATTTCCAGTTTCCCTTTACCGTAGATTTTGCTGAAAAGGCTAGAAACAAAATTTAGTGCTAGTAAATATGGTAGTTCCTTTATGTGTACTATAAAAGAACATATAACGTAAGTAAACACATGTATGTATATAATTATTCAGCCAATATATATGAATATGTGTGTATCTATATGTGTATATATACGTGTGTGTGTGTGTATGTATGTATGTGGGTAAATATGCATGTATGTATATATATTTAAGTTAGGGGCAAAAGGACGTGTCTTTCTGAGTTAGTGAATCAATCCCTTTCAGATATTTAAGGAAATACATTAAATCTTTCGGTACACTTAGCCTTGACTGAGCCATGGAGAATATTGAATTCTGATGCATTTGTTTTCTTAGTTTTAATATCAGTGTCAGCTCCACTATAGCCTTTAAACAGTTTTGATAGTGTGATAAGGGAAAGTGGTGTTTCCTTGTGCTAATTCACAGCTACATCACTATTTGATGTGAATTTAATTTCTTTATTTTTCATTCAAATAATGAGATTTGCTATGACTTTTGGTTTTGTGACTTTATTCTGTTGCGGTGTTTGTCTTTTTCTTATTGATTTGTAGGCATTCTTTATTTATTCTGGATACTAATTCTTTGTGATATACATTACAAATACCATCTGTTCTGTTAACCATGAATAAGGTTAATTGGGCTTTCAAAAATTTGTGAGTTTTTTTTCCAAAGTTATTTATTTTTGGTTACAGTTTCTTTTTTTTTTATTGTGCTTTAAATTAAGGTTTACAGAACAAATTAGTTTCTCATTAAACAATTAATACACATTATTTTATGACATTGGTTGCCAACCCCATGACATGTCAACACTCTCCCCTTCTTGACCTTGGGTTCCCCATTTCCAGCTTTCCTGTCCTCTCCTGCCTCCTCATCCTTGCCCCTGGGCTGTGTGCCCATTTAGTCTCATATACATGGTTGAACTACATGTGTTATTGTTTGTTTTATCAGCCTGTCTAATTTTTGGCTGAAGAGTGAACCTCAGGTGTGACTTCAGTACCAAGTTAAAAGGGAGTCCGGGGACCATACTCTTGGGATTTCTCCATTCTTTGTCAGACCAGTAAGTCTGGTCTGTTTTTGTGAGTTTGAATTTTTTCTACATTTTTTTCTCCAGCTCTGTCCGGGACCCTCTATTATGATCCCTGTCAGAGCAGTCGGTGATGGTAGCCGGGCACCATCTAGTTGTTATGGACTCAGTGTGGTGGAGACTGTGGTAGAGTGCTGTTTGTATTTTGTCTTAGGCTGGGTTCTCTAGAGAAGCAAAACCAGTAAAGCGTATCTATATCTATATCTATAT